AAACATAGTTTTTAGATGAGATTTAATAATTTCAGAATGCATTAATCCATAAACTTACAAAAGCTCAGTTTATCTTACATTGTATTACCTGCTATTTAAAGTGAGAGGTCATTTTTAAATTAGAACACCGATTTTTTTCCCCTCAAGTAGCAGATATTAGATAACAGTAATCTTTATTCCCACTTTCCAGTAGACTTCTGAAGTCCAGATCCTGCTTTGCTCCTGCAGAATGTTTCCATTTTGATGACAAGAGATAATGGCATTAAGTTGTTCCAGAGAAGTTCAGCTGGGATATTAGGAAGAATTTCTCCTCTGAAGGAGAGTGGAGGGGCACTGTCACAGGCTGTCCAGGGAGATGGGGGTGTCCCTGTCCCCAACACGTTCAGGGAATATGGAGATGTGGCACTAAGGGACGTGGTCAGTGGGCGTGGGTTGACAGTTGGACTAGATGATCTTAGAATCCTTAAGGCTGGAAAAAAAATCTACAGAAGAGCATTTAGAAGTGATACTTATAGCTACCCATATTCCAGGGATTTACATATGCAGAGTAGGTGGATGAAAGTGAAGGTCTCTTTAAGGCTTAAGGAACATAATGATGATTCCCACGTATTCAATAGATTGCAACAAAGAAGCATGCTATCCTTTTTCAGAGCCTGTAGTGAAGCTGCCAGTCTTCAAATCTTTGTGGGCAAGCTAGATGGGCATCAAAGAGTAATGCTACCAAAACAGCTAATTCTGTCTGACAACAAGGAGAATTTCATTAGAGGAGTTCTTGAGTTCAATTCTACTCCAATTTTTTTGATTTTGCCTCCCAGAGCAAGTTAACTCAGAATAAAATTCAAATAAATCCTGTGTTCAGCACAGCTCTCCTGGGAATGAGAAGCCAAATGGACTCTTGACATTTAGAGCTTGCTACGTAGATCTCTACCCATGTAATTACAAGGAAAAGTTGTATCAATTGAATTTATTTCTGGTTTTTATTCTCTTGGGCTCATATGTGGGGAATTTGGGATTGAATCTTAGTACTTTAGATGGAAAATAAAATAATTGTGATTTTGTTCTTTTTTAACATCTGTTCTTCAGTTACACAGTAATACTGTTGCCATGTTCCTCTCATGCACTTCACCTCTGCCTGTCATTTCAAGGGCACTGGGGCAGACTCAAGTCTGAGCACAGAAATGATGTTTATATCTATACGCAGATTAAAGCTAAATGTCAAAGTAGAGAGGGAAGTATGCTAACGGGTAAGTATTAAAAAGTAATAACCAAAGAATTGCTTGGAGCAGGTTTCATTGAAATTCCCTTTGTGCTGAAATGCAGACTTCTGCCCTTTGCTCCAGAGGAAAAGAAATAAAAATCAGTGAGTACTTGAAGAAAAAAAATAGAGAATTTCCTCATTTTATCATAATCAATATATTCTCATTTCTTAGGCAATGTGAACTGAACAACTTCCCACAAAAATGTAGCATTAAATGCAGAAAGAAAGAAGTTATTTCTATATTTCACAGAAAATTTCAAAAATAAAATGAGTTGCTTTATTCTAGACTACAATGACTTAAGTAAGATATGGTACAATTTGTGAATGCAGACGCAACAAAAGAGAATGTAGGATCACAGGGATGGCTGATTTACTTCGTAGCACTGAAGAAAGGCAGCAAAGGAACACAGAAATTGATGAGTGAGTTGTTCAAGAAGAAGTGGGCAGGAAGTAGAGCAAGAGCGGGGGAAAAGAAGAGGAGGGAGCCCTACTGAAACAGTCAAACCATAGTCAGAAATAGTCAAACCATCATCAGAAGATCAGAGAATGCTTGGGCAGCATTTATATTTGAGGTATCTACATAATTCTGTTTAAGAGAAACCTTTCAGAAATTTAAGATCTATTCACCTCTTGAGCATGAAACAGCCCTGCAATAGGAGATACAAGAGCAGGTAAGGAAGGAACATCCTGCTCACACTGAGAGGTGTTTATAAGAAGAAGAGGGTTCTGGGCCTATGTTTGCTAAATACATCCACTCTCAACACAGGAGAAAAGGAAGGCTTGCAATCAGTAAGCTTTTCTGGCTCTAAAGAGCAGCTCTCTTCTCATTGCCCTGGCACAGGACAGTTTCTTCTCCAGCAAGAAACTTAGTCTTACTGTCCTATTTTTCCCCTATCTGGAAAACATCATCTGCTATTTCTTCTATTTTTCTCTAGTATTCTAACTAGAAAAAGAAATCTGCAACACACAAACACAGCCTGAATTATTTTCCCCCTAGAAGATTGTATGATCATAAGGCTTCAAAAAGAAGTCAAAGATTACCAATAATAAACACAGAGCAAGACTGCGCTGGGTTTTTAATTTAATTTCTATCTATTCTGAAGCATGAAGCTGTTATTGAGAAAAGCTGCTAGGAAGCCATCCAGTTCAGCTTCATATTGATGGAATTCTTGATCCTAGATCCTCATTTCTGCCTCTTTTCACCTCCCCTTCACTGCTACAAATACATCCTTTAAAGAGCTAAGCTTTTAGTACAAAAGTAGTGTTTTCAGACAAGGGATTAAAAGCTACTGCAACAGAAAAACACTTGCACTAGTGCTTCACAGTCTTTCAGAGAAAAAGAGATTTCCTCTCTAGCTTTTGGTATTCAGTGGGTAGGAGTTGAAATATCATGAAAGCTTTCTATATCTAGGAAAGATCCTGAATTATCAGCACACAAATTGGACTTATCATGGCTATGCTGAAAAAAAACCAGCAGCAACAGCTTTTTTTTTTTTTAAAAAAAAAAAAAAAAAAACAAAACAACTTCAAGCCAAATAAAGAAATATCCTAAAGTTTCTTTCAGGAGGATGCATCCATACAGATAAGCAACTTCTGTAACAAAGAAATTCTGAGATACTTCTAAAAAGGATTGGTTTGAATCAATGTACAGACTGATTATTAAGAACTAGAACTATAATGGTAAGGCTGTATTCTTGAGTTTATTGCTTGATTTATGAATTGAGTATTTTAATGAGAAGTGACAAACTAAACTCAATGTTGATAACTTAGCTCTAAATACAATACTTTTCCAGGTTTCAGAAAACACAAGTTCATATTTTTGGTCTGAGTCATGGGCTTGTAACGTGATTTTTTAAGCAAGTACTGCAATTCTGAGGTTATTTACTTTCTATGACACAACTTCTGTTTCAGTGAGAAATTCCATCTTGGGTTAAGTTGTTAAATGATATTTTCTTACAAAAGACTCCAGTACATCAATTCCATATGTAATAGCATCTTTTGACCTTCTGTGTCAATTGACTGGCTCCATTCTGACTCTTTAGCTGTGCAAAAGGTCTTCAGGATTCAACTAGGTCAACCAGCTCAGAATTCCCCATGGGGAGGAAAAGCTCAAAATAGTAGAAAAGCATTCCTAAAAAATTAATCACCAAGCCAGTCATGAAAATTGCTAGCAAAGGCACTAGCCTTACTACTTGTAATTGTGATTTTTGGTGGGTAAGGTATTTCTCCATTGATTTCTAGAGTCAGCTCACTTCATGTATCAAAAAGATACCAGATGCAGAACTAGTTAAAGATGTACACCAACTTGATCTAGAAACTGTTGATAAACATGAATAGAGGAGTTTGCATTGTACTACAGGGTCTGATTTCCTTGACATTTTCAAGCAGATTAAAGGCCTTTATTTTTCTTCTTTTGAAAACAGACTGCACATGAAAAGTCAAACTTAATCAGTAAAGTCATTTAAATGACTGAAGAATAACCTTTGTTCAGCTTCTCAGTTTGACCATAAATAGGCTGCTGTGCCATCAAAGCAAGCCAAGGAGAGGTTGAAGTTTCACAAAGAGACAAAGACTATAATAGAGGATGTTATATTCTGTGATGCTCTTACCTAAAAAGTAACTTCATTTCATAAGCTCATTGCTCAAACTTCCCCTGTAAACATCATAAACAAATGTGTTAGAGGAATTTTTGCCTGTTTACTTCAAACAAGCTTTCATTTCAAACAGGAATGCCAGGAGTTAAGCATGAAGAGCAGCAACGCTGTTACTTCTGAACTTAGCAGTTCTTCATAAGTGATTTGAAACAAAGTTGTGTTTATACTTCTACATTAATTTAAAGGCTGATTAATCAAAATATTTGAGTTTCTTTTTATGGATTTAGTAACAAAACTAGTCTAAAAATAACATTTCCTATGAGATTTGTACTACTAGGTCTTTTTTTAAGTCAGTGAAATAGTTTTGCTTCTTGAATTGCCTAAAAAGATGAGAAAATAAAATAAGAAAATCCCTAACAACTTGCCAAGGTTATAACTACAAGATTTTAGGGCTGGAAAAATCATCATAGAAACATTAAAGCTGGACAAAAATCACTAGAATCATCTAGACCAACCACCACTCACCCCCATCGTGCCCACTAATCACATCTGCACAGATCATGAACATCACAGTCAGTGACTCCACCACCTCCCCATGCAGCCCGCCTCACCACTCTTTCTGAGAAGAAACTCTTCCCAATATTCAACCAGAACCCCCAAGTGCAACCTAAGGCCTCTCAACCGATCGCATACTGCAAGCACATACAAGATTTAACAACTGAATGTTAACTCATATCATCCCAGTGTTAATGAGGTATTCAGACAATGTATTTATTAATACACATCAACTTTCTGCTAATCCTGCAAAGATTAGGCAGCTAGACTAGATTATTTTTGATAGACCCTTCCAGCTGAATTATTCTACTTGGTGCCATCTTTGAAGGCATAATTTCATTTTCCAGTTTCTGGCAGCTCACAAGTCAACCACTCACCACAGCTGCTTAAAAGCACACTTATCCACAAAAAACAAAAAGCAACAAGAAACCAGCACATCCATTGGCTTTTTTAGACTGTAGCACTTGCATTATTGTCACCCATAAGGCAGAGAATTAGACGCTTTTAAGACAATCTAGATTGCCACTGAAAGTTTTGAGAAGAGTTTCTATTATATAACACTCTAAAATACAGAGAATTTTCACAGCACTCACCGAACCAGAAATGAAGACTGTCATTCAGACCATCCCAGCTATTTTCCAGCAATCAGCACACAGCAGCTAAATGAAATAGCTGATCTCTCAGAAAGAGCTCAAACCTGCAAGAGAACTTTTGTATTGATTTGAATTCTATGCAGCTGATGTCATGCATTAGGAATCTGATTAGATATGAAATTCACCTGCAGGATTTGGACGCCAGTTTACCCAGGGTAGTAACACACAACAGTTCCTCAGCATCCTTTTGATCATATCACCAAATATTTTAGGAAAACAAACAAACAAACAAAAAAACAAATGAACAAAAAAAACAACACCAAAAACAGGAAGATAAGACTGACAGAAGACAAATGACAGTTGTATTCATAGTTCAAAGAAGAACAATACATGAATATTACCATCTGCTCAGCTGGGTTGAACAGTGATAGGAAAATCTATAGGAAATAATGGAGATTTTACAACGTCTGATCCAAATTCTGCCTTTGGGTTCAGCTGAACAAAAGACTTACTAGTACAAAATTTCTAGAGAAGGAGCTTTCTCTTCTCACTTCATCTCAAATAACACAAAAGTTTTGGGCAGGCTTAGTGGAGAGCTCTCTAATACTGCCAAGTAAAAATAAAATGCTTTTTTGGCCTTGATTTCAAAGCAGCAATGAGCGTTCACATTTCAAGGCTGTTAATGAAAGCTGTCCTTGTAAGTCTAAGGTATCTGGCTCATCACAGTTGTGTGGATTTTCAAGGAAATAGTGGGAGACCACCATCAGCTTAAGAAGGCAGACTTTGGAAAGCCCACAAGAGTTCTGTGATTCTATGGAGTGTGAGCTGCAATGCTCAAGGAGGATGGATTTGGTTGCTCAAGCTTTTTAACGAGAAACAGGTTCTCCAAACAGAAGCAAAGGCTATTGAACAAGTTCAAAAGGTTGTGAAAGGGCACTGATCCTTCCACTCAATACCAGGTCAGTGTATGTAACTGAACATAAGAAAATCCTGCTTTGTCAGAAGGTGATATTAACATGTACCATGACCATGGATCATCTTCCTTAGTATACTTGATTCTTCATAACAGAAGCAGATGTGGCAGATGGCTCTATTGCTGTGTTTCTTCAGCTCTGAAAGAAGCAGAAAGTTTCACAGCTGTATCAAAAATCTTTATCCATCTCTAGTTCAGGCTGAGTCAAGTAAATCTCCTTATTGCTGAAATTCAAGAAGTTAAAAAAATATAGAATGACCAAGCATATGCTTTCACTTATCCTCCTTCCTGAAAAGGAAATTGGTCAGATGAGTTTCTGGGTTGAAATAAATAGAAAGTACATTTTGAACATACAACTCTTCCTGTGAATTCTTTATGGGAAATTGAACTTTTTCCATACAGAAGTTGCTTGCTTAATAAAGGTCTTGTTTATAGACTGTAAAATACTCATGCAAACATAATAATCTCTGAGTTGTATTTTCAAACTTTGATCCATTTTCAGCATGGGAAAAAAGAATGTGCGAAAGGTTTTGATTAATGTAAGAATCCTCTTAATTCTAAGAGCATGGAAAAGTATTGTCACTGTTTCTTTTCATTCACTTTGCATTAAATCTCAGGAGTAGAATATTTTCATTATTTTTTCTGAAGGCTTGAACACCAGTGTTGATTTTTAGCCACCATTCTGTTGCATATATTGCACATTAACACTTTCATGATTCTAATTCAATATTATGTGATCAGTAAATATCCTCTGAGACTGACACACCAGAAATTGAAGAAAACTGATGATCACCTGTATAAACAAGGTAGAAGAAAGTTGAGTTGAAAACATCAGAAACTGCTTTCTTAAGAAAAACATTTTGAGATATTTTTTAGTGCTCTGGTAACACAAAGCTTTTTGATTTTCCTCACATCCTCCTCTTGCATTAGAGCTGCTATTTTTTCTGTATCTTCTCAAAGGCAGAAATTGATCCTGAAAGAGTCCATAAATCATTTAACTGAGAAATCAACATGCACGTATGGAAAGAATTATGCAAAATTCAATTTTTTGGTAATATCTGGAGCAGACATCTCCAGGATGGACTACATTCAGAGCTCCCCAGATGAACATTATAGTTCAAGAAAGGTTTGGAAAAAATTATTCTGCAAGAGACAATAAATAAGCATGGAGTACAGTCATTTAAGTAGTTTATGTTTCAACCAGTACAGCAAGTCACTACTGAGAAAGAAATCATTACCTAGACTCAGGACCAGAATTCAGAAATAGGGAGCATTTAAGTTCAATGTTACAAGTGTAAGCCTGGAAAGAACCAACTGACTTATTTGATTTGTCTGCTAGTTGACAAGTATTCACATAAGAAAACGTCGGTTGCTGCACAACTCCTTTCTTGTGGATGTGCGTCTCTCAGTGAATGGATACTAAGCAATTTAAACTGAGGTTTTATATTGTCTCCTTATGCAAATGTAAAGCTCTCCTGCTGTTTTTCTACCTTTCCCACTTACAGCAAAAAAATGCTGCTGATGACTTTTTGGGCTGCTCCTTTTGACTGAAATGAGGGAGAAAATGTAGGAACAAAGTATATTGGTAACTCAGCTCTTCTGGTATGTTTGGAGAGTTTGGCTAGCAGTGTTCATAAGACATTAAGATTGCATGCAGAGTAAGCATGTAAGCCTTGCTTTGCTAAGAAGTTGAGCTGAAAACAGCCCTAATATTCACAACTGGCTTTAACTGGTGTCTTTATCTGCTATCACAGAATAGGAAAAAGAGAAAGAATGGAGTGGACAGGCTGTATCTATCGTTTGATAAAGACATATGAAGAAGAATGCAGAATTCATTCATAGTTCCTGTACCACAGTGGTTTCCTAGTCACAATTCTTTCCACAGATTGGAAAAAATCAGCAACAATGATGAAAATGTCAAAGAAAACCACAAATATCTTAGTATCCTAAATGCTCTCACTGAAATACTGGGAGGATTCTTAGGAGTCCAATGAAAATTGGAGAGCCCCGTGCCAGGGGCCAACATTAGCAAGCAAGCAGTGATGTGTGAAAAAGCAGAGTTGAGCTGGTGCACAGGGCAACTCTCTCCTCTTCCAGTAAGATCTGTTTCTTCATCAAAAGAAAAGGCTACAAAGTGCCTCCAGTGATTTTTCAGTTGGCTCCTAGTGAATGTCGCACAGTTTCATCTTCTGAATGACAATACAGATCACCACAGTGCCAGGCACCATGCCCATGTTTGCCTGCAGGCTGCGGAGTTAACAGGATCAGAGCCCAAGGCAACAGAATGATTTAATTCCCAATCCTTGTGACACAAGACAAAGCTCAGCCCTTTCCAACCCATTCTACAAAATGAAATCAGTTGAATCAATAGGTACCAAAGGATACTCCTTCAGACAGCAACCACACCACCAGTTTGCTTCCACAGCTTGCAGACTCTGCTCAAAAATGATGGAGGATTGCTGAAATTCAAAATAACAGCACCTTTGGTGGGCTGCTTTGGTATTCAACTGCCATTGCGTCTGAATAAAGCATGCAGGAAAGCACAGTGAGAAAGCCAAAGCAATCAAGAGTTACACATACCACTTTATGCTCCTCTGCTGCTGAAGGAAGTACACAGTTTCTCCAGCCACTTTATAACATCAGCTTGCTCTGTTATAACTCTGTGTCTCAGAGATGGCATCACCCCTTGTTCACCGACTTCTTTGCTTCTGGTTATTTTAGCTGCTTTGTGTGTACAGCACCAAGTGGCTCATATGATCCTATAAGCACTGTGGCAACTTCAGTTTTGTAGTTCTGTTGTCTGCAACTGAGATTTGTCCTGTTAGCAGGCTGGTAGGTAATAAGAAAAACACTGTTTCAGATAGAGAGAAAAAAGAACAAAAAAAACCAACTGCAATCAAAACTAAAATAAACATCAAAATTCCAGTACGAGGGTGGCATTAATTGTCTGTACACATCTTGGGGAATCCTAATATTCCATCACTGAAAGATCAGAAACAACAGCAGAGCCCACTGTACAGACATATCCTGCATATGAAGAAGTAATAAAAGTAACACTGAGCAGATGCAGGTCTCTATTAAGTGTTTCCCTAAATCTGGAATCATTCAGACCTTACTCAAACATTGCTTGCGACAGCCACAAAACTCAGATCCAGGACTCCCAGCTCTAACCTGTTTAGACCCCAGGTTTTCACTGTCATTAACGTAGAAACATATTTTTCTGCTCTGGTTTCCCTCTTGTGCTTTCTAATTTCTTATGGTGTTTATGAAATGACTCCTTCTCATACAAAAAGTGTGACTGGTTTTGTTTATCCTACTTATTATATGAGAACAATTTGCAGGCTGTCATTTCATTATTAAATTTGAAAGGAAAGCAAACAACAGAACACTGCAAAACTGGATGCTCCCAAGTGAAAGCAAACCCATTTCTACCTTACGCATTTAACCAAAACTCATCATAACTGACTGCAAGCAAAGCTTATACCATCAAATACCAAAACTAGGAAATGGCTTCTCCCTGCCGTCATCAAGATCTGCTTTCAATGTTAGGTCTACCTTGTCTACCATCCAAAGATTGCAAGGAAATTTATGATTCAGCAATGAAATCTTAATTGCTTCCTCTTTATGTTGATCTGTTTTCCTGGAAATATAATTAATTCTCTATGCTGAGCCTTTAAGAATGAAACAAATTATAGCCCCTGTTCACTTTGGCAATGCAATCACTTTTAATCAGTGCATAATTAGGATTTAAACAGTATCAACCTGTCCTTGTTGTAAGAAGGTAACTGCGCTTAAACTTCAATTACTCCTAAATTTAAAAATCAATTGCAAATAAAATGTCCTGCTGCTGATGCTAAAGAGATTAGAAAGACCAGAATACATTCACACGAGAAGCTACTCATGTCAACACAATTGCAACAAGCAGCTGCCATAATGTAGGTAATTCTGCTGTAATGCAATATTAAGGCCTTTATCTAATCAAAGGCTGAGGGCTAAAACTGTCAAAAATACAAGACACCTCAAAAGGCAGATTGTTATTGTTTTGTATGTGACTTTGACCTGTGCAGGACAAATGAGCCATTTTGCTTTAAGAAATTAATCGTAGTTTGAATGGGTGAAAGTCCATTCTTTTACCTTAAAGTCTGCCTATCATGAGAGGACAGTGCAGTTTAAAAGCAGCATCAATTATGATGACTCTAAAGTTTGAAATAACAAGTACATTATGCATAAGTTTATCACGGTGTTTTCAAGAGGATCAAGGCAGACAGTGAGATTCCCACATGCCAAACACAGCACAAGCACATGTTGAGATGTCTGCAAGGCAGACATATGAGATGACCAATGGGTGAAGCCTGGGATTGAACTCAGATTTCCAAGCCTCAGTTTTAGATGCGCACCCCTGCCAAGAGTGCGGGGTGACAGGCTCACAACTGTGCAGTAAGAGACTGAAGAATGAAAGCTGTTGGAGGGAGGTGGAGGGAACTGCATTCCTTGTGGAACTGATCCTGAGCAGGACTGCAGGAGCACAAAAGTATTTAGCAGCAGACCTGGACTGAAAACCTGCATTGTCCTTCACATGGAAGGGAGGACCATGAGACCTTCCTGCCCTAAGCAACAGAATACTTAAGGAGGACTTAAAATGCATGTTCTAATTCTTGGATGGAAACTGCACCCCTTCAAAAAGAAAAAAAAAATGAAAGGAAGGAAGAAAGGAAGAAAGGAAGAAAGGAAGGAAGAAAGAGAGAAAGAGAGAGAGAAAGAGAGAAAGAGAGAAAAGAAAAGAAAAGAAAAGAAAAGAAAAGAAAAGAAAAGAAAAGAAAAGAAAAGAAAAGAAAAGAAAAGAAAAGAAAAGAAAAGAAAAGAAAAGAAAAGAAAAGAAAAGAAAAGAAAAGAAAAGAAAAGAAAAGAAAAGAAAAGAAAAGAAAAGAAAAGAAAAGAAAAGAAAAGAAGGAAGGAAGGAAGGAAGGAAGGAAGGAAGGAAGGAAGAGAAGAGAAGAGAAGAGAAGAGAAGAGAAGAGAAGAGAAGAGAAGAGAAGAGAAGAGAAGAGAAGAGAAGAGAAGAGAAGAGAAGAGAAGAGAAGAGAAGAGAAGAGAAGAGAAGAGAAGAGAAGAGAAGAGAAAGAGAGAGAGAAGAAAGAAAGAAAGAAAGAAAGAAAGAAAGAAAGAAAGAAAGAAAGAAAGAAAGAAAGAAAGAAAGAAAGAAAGAAAGAAAGAAAGAAAGAAAGAAAGAAAGAAAGAAAGAAAGAAAGAAAGAAAGAAAGAAAAGAAAGGAAGAAAATTTCATCACGATCACTTACAGTACTGTTACTTTTTAAAAACTGCTTCCAGATTCTCTGTCTGGGGACTTGACTTTCATGTCATCATGATGGAAATTGGCAGTGAGATACTAGACGAAGTAGAAACTAAATTTATCGTATACTATAATAAAAGCATGGCAAACACCACATGGAATTTGTCTCTTCAGCCACTCAGGGTGAAGGACAGGACTTGTTTTCTGTTCAGGGCATAACTCTGACCTATGTCCTCCTCAGAAACCTCTTCATTTTCTTTGGAAAATGTAGGAAATGGCACATGGCAGCTACATCAAGAGCAGTCAGCACAGCAATGCTCTGGTAGCACAAGAAAAATCTTGTTTTAGTGAGTATGCCCCAGGATACCCCAGTGCTCTGATGTTTCCAAGTGAAGGTAGGACCTTTCTTCACCTCAAGTATCTTTTTTGCATTTTCCTGTTTATTCATTTCTTTCTCTTTCTTTCTTTCTTTCTTTCTTTCTTTCTTTCTTTCTTTCTTTCTTTCTTTCTTTCTTTCTTTCTTTCTTTCTTTCTTTCTTTCTTTCTTTCTTTCTTTCTTTCTTTCTTTCTTTCTTTCTCTCTCTTCTCTTTCTTTCTCTTCTTTCTTTCTTTCTTTCTTTCTTTCTTTCTTTCTTTCTTTCTTTCTTTCTTTCTTTCTTTCTTTCTTTCTTTCTTTCTTTCTTTCTTTCTTTCTTTCTTTCTTTCTTTCTTTCTTTCTTTCTCTTTCTCTTTCTCTTTCTCTTTCTCTTTCTTTCTTTCTCTTTCTCTTTCTCTTTCTCTTTCTCTTTCTCTTTCTCTTTCTCTCCCTCTTTCTTTCTTTCTTTTTTTTGAAGCAGGCAGCAGTGATACTTTGCCAGAGCTAATGGAGCATGTTGATGGAGGAGCTGCTAGGGGAAATTCTCAGAATACCTCTAATGGTCCCAGGAATAGAGACAAACTACTGGGGCTGAGTCTTAGGACAGGCTACACAAAATGCCTTGGGAACAAAGGAAACTCATTCCCTTCCTCATCTCCACACAATCACAGCTGTCACTTGGACTCCCTGACATACACCCTGGCGTCTGCTGTCACTTTTTATTCATCTTTCACTGACGCACATCTCCCACTGAGGCACCGTTACTTCTGTGCTCAGTTCTTTCACTGAAAGTCCCAAAATGAAGCGCAGCCTGACATTCTACAGCGTGTGAGAGTGAAATAAAAATGTTATTTGCTTTGTTCCTGTGTGACACAAGTGTAAAAAGCCTCTATCCCTCCCTGTAGTTTGGTCATTCTAATGTGATCACGTACTACTCAGTACCGATTATGTGTTAGAGGCTGCAGCCTGCTGGGTCAAAAACTATCTAGAAAGACATGATAAAAGGCCTCAAAATAATTCAGGCCAGGTTTTCTACTTCATCTTTGAGCAATTTCTTTCTTCTTAAACTTATCAAAGGTAAGAAATATAGATCTTCCCTAGAAACCGGACAGGTAAGTTCAAATCTACATAGTTCAGCAAAGATGTGTTAATTGCATCCTGGTTCTGTAATAAAGAGGAATCTTTACATGTATTCAGGAGTCTGTGGCACGAAACCTAAAGATTTACAGAATGGGTTCAGTGCTTTAGTGAGGA